ATTTATAAGCTTTATTATTTTTTATTGATGGGTTGCTCATATTCTAAATGGCTTAACAAAACAGACCAAAACTAAATCCACAATATGTCATGGTCCGTTATTTAACATGAGGAATATGACCTTGTGCATTCATCTGTTTTTAATTGTATGCAAAGATATAATCTACTCTACAGTTAGTGGTTAATTCATTCATTCATTCATTATCTGTAACCACTCAACCTAATCAGGGTCACGGGGGGCTGGAGCCTATCTCAGCAGACACTGGGCAAGAGGAAGGGTGTACCCTGGATAGGTCACCATGACTATCAGAGGGCTGACACATAGAAACAGACAACCAATCACGCTTATATTCACACCTACAGGCAATTTAAAGTCACAAATCAACCTAATGTGCATGTCTTAGGACTGTACAGAAGCTGGAGAACCCGTAGAAAACCCACGCCGACAGGAAGAGAACATGCAAACTCCACACACAAGGGCCCCAGCTAGCTGTTGGGTTTGAGTGATTTGTGGTTGAGCCCATTAAAACTGTTAATAGTTGTTTTACTGCACAAGGCGTGGATCAACCAACTTCACAAAGTGATCAGTTTCCCTGGGATCCCAGACCCCAGTGGTCTCCAAAAACCCTGAAGAACTTGCACCACCAAAGTACAATATCAACTAAAGCAAGTCATGCATATCTTGATCTTGAGTCTCTGTCTTGTAGAGTGTGTCACAGTGGAGGACTTAATATTAGTTGGTTAGTTATTGTGCTCATGTGTCGCAAATTCTTAAACACAGTAATGTTTAATCAATGGATTGAATGGCACACAGAAAACGTAGGGCCAAGAAATGTTCCAGCATCCACTCGTGAGACCACAAATATGTTCCATTTATATGTTATTATGTAGCAGATACGTTGAAACTTTATGTTTTAACAATGGTTAATGTGTGGTTAGGTCTAGGCACAGAAACAACTTGGATATGCTTAAGAAAAGATAATGTTTTGGTTTGATATACCTGGTTTTGGGGGCACAATGCAGGCAGGAAATGCAGCAATATCTCTGTACAAAGCAATCACTTTTTGAGGCACTATCTCTGCTGGAAAAAGAATGATGGTTTACTACAAAACATCCATTTAATGTTGCCTAAAAAGTCACTTGAAACACAGCAATAACTCTAAATCACAACAGGGTATGTTGTTTGTTGGTCTCGAAGAGTCGTCTGCAGCTTTATAGGCATCTCGCCTAGGTGTCATACCATCCACCACCTCCTCCACCTCCCAATGACAACATCAGCTCATATACTACCTCGCTTCAGAAACACTGTAACATATTTGTGGTTTGCAGAAACATACAATAACATTTTCTTCTAGTGACTGAGCTGCAGCATCACAGGTAATGGTTGGTTCCTGCATCTATGGGTAGGAGTGAGGGGAGGGTGGAACAAAGGGGCCCAAGAACAAGTTATTACCCTCCTGACTTGATAACTGGCCATATAGTGCAAGGACAAATGTTATGACACCGTTTGCATTTTATCACAGTCACACAATATTAGCACAGAGAGCATAAAGAGCTGTCACAAGCCGATCAGGAGGGGGGACTCGAATTAATCAAGTTGTATCGTAACAAGTATAAAGAGTTCTGGTAACCTCCCAGTGCTCACGATATAGCACTGTTCTATTACCGCACTTTCATTTACTTAATAATTGATAAGTGTCATAAGGGGCTTTAATATTTCCTGATAGACAGTTTATGAGGACAAGGGAAGGTGGCAAAACTATTTGAGGTCTTGAGCTTTGAAAGTGACAATTTCCTAACAATCCTCTGGTGTGAATACAGTTTTGCGCAGGAATATTATTCACAAATATGTCTGACTGAGGAGAAATGTAAAGAAATTGAGACTAGTAGGATAAGATTATTGTTGTTCAACTGTGTTGCTATTGTCCTTACAACGCCTGCTGATTCACCATTAGCAGTGATACCTAATTGCTCATGACTGGGGGATGCAACAGTTAGAGACAGTGGGGCTTGACAGCTTTGGAAACAGCTGCGGAGTAGAACAGGTTGGGATCAGCTGATTATACTTTAATAAAGACTCACACTGTGCCTTACAAATACTGATACACCCTGTGATTAACAATGCATTAAACACAATCAATGTACACAGAAAATGACACTATATGGAGCCGTAAATGCCACCCTAGACTGAGATGAAACAAATAAAGAGTCGTTAATGCACACACACACACACACGCACACACACACACACACACCTCTTTATTTACCCATGCTCTGATGAAAACAAAACAGATGTCAGGGATAAATGACCGCTCTATACTGGTGTTACATAGTTGACAAAATGCTGCCACCATGTGGTGAACCCTAGTGCTATATAGTTTTAATCAATAATATATTTAGCATCTAACTTTTTTTTTTTAACTTTTGTTATTTCAATGATTGCACGTACAGTCCTGTTATGAACAAGTTTCTTTCAAAGTTCAAATATCAGAGCCAGGACTGCAGTCATCAGGCTGTGATAATTTATGGAAATTTCAGATAGCAGATAGTGTTTTGGACACATTTTCCCAAAGTTGCAGTTCTGCATACGATGAAATACAAACTCAATCAAGAAAAAAATACAAGAAATAGAATAAACGTTTGATACATCAGTGGAATATTTTCTGATAAAATCAAACACTTGATAGTTCAACAGGTGCAAATCCTGCCTGAGCTCTGGAAGGTCATACGGATGAATTCATATGATTTTTTTTCCCTTTGTTTGTCTGACAAGCAAAAGTCAGTTGAAAAACACTGCAGCTAATTGTAGGGCTTGTGGTGCGGTTAATGACATATTTTAGGTGGTCTGGGTCTTTATTTAACAGTGACTCACACAGGGGACAAACTTGTTGCTAACTGCTGACTCCTCTGTGGTTTGAAGCATTCAGACTTGTTGTTCTTCAGGCCACACCCCAAATGTCACAACAGGTTTTTATCCAGAGAACAGTGGCCTGATATGCAACACACATGATGGTTGAAACCAATGCAGCAGCATTTTTTTGCCCAGCAGTCGTGTAATCTGAGCCAGTCCAAGGCACAGGGACTGACGCAGATTGTCAAATTTGTCACGCTCTGGAGGTTTTGACAACAGGTTCAGTCATGCAGTCAGAATCGGATATCAGAAGTTAAAACTTCCTTCTTTATAAAAATACAAGAAAATGCTGTTTAATTCTTAATTTCTACAGTGACTTTAACTTCCAGATCAAGATGCAAGAAGTCATCAGAATGCTACAATTAACACTGCACAATGTTCAACCTTCTTCTGTCATGAAGGGTCAAACTTTGTTCATGACACAGGAAACAGCAGTTGACAGTTTTAATCATATCAAGGTCAACAATGAACTTTGAACCTCAACTTTTAAAGGGAAACTTTAGTGCTTTTCAACATAGACCCTATTCTTCCATGTTTTTGTGTCTAAGTGACTTATGGTAACAGCAATTTTTGAAAGTGGTCCCGTAGTGAGAGAACGCTGGGGGCTGCAAAACGGGCTGCAATGTAATCCTTCAGGGCTGCCAATGTATGTCTACTCAAAGTTCTTGTTTTTACCACTGACAGGCTCACATTATTATAGGTGTCTGACAAAGAAATAAAACATTTTTCTTTACCTTTTGCTTGATCCAGTCTGTTTGTTATTTACTTCTCAGTAGGGTCCTTTCCATAATGTTGTCAGACACTTACAGTAACAATCCGAGCCTGTCAGTGGCAAAAACAAGCACTTTTACTGGACATACACTGATGGTGTGTTATTGCTCTAAAGGGTTATATTGCAGCCTGTTTTGCGGCTGCTGGCTGCAGCGTTCTCACTCAGTACTGGACCAATTTAAAAAACTGTTGTTACCATCAGTCACTTAGACAAAATAGAGCCCGGCTGAAAAATGCTTAAGTTTCCCTTTAAGCCAACATGAGAAAGTTCTTGAAGCAAAAATTATAAAGTTGAATATTTCTATGATAAGTGGAAAACTCTACCTGTGAATGCAGATCATGGGATATTAGTGAAAGCTCTTAGACAGCTACTGAATTAACCTTGAGGTGAGATTGTTTTCATATTCTCATATTGTACAACCCAATATAAAAATGGTACATTTTTATAGCAACAAAATCGCCTCAAAGAAAAATATTGTACGTCTTGTCCAGTATCACTGCACAGAGGGAAACATGGGCAAGAGGTTCATGCTTTTGACAGCACAAGATGTAAACATTAATGGCGTCCTCCTTGGCTGTGTCGTAATGTCTGTTCCTTCCTGGATTATATTGAGTAACCAGGTCATGGTTTCTGGAAAGAGACTTTGCTGTTGAATTCATCATATGTATTTTTGGCATCTTGTGAGAGAAAAAATCCGAGTGCCATCTAGTTCCATTATATTTGAGAGAAGGCAGACATCTCTGCAGATGATTTCTCCAACACTCTGCATCTCACACCAAAACAATCACGATATATGATATATAGCACTACATGTATGAGGAAAAATTTGCATTTTTGATATGGGGTGAACTGTCCCTTTAACATCTCATTAACAACAACAAAGGTAAGAGGAAAATATATAGGCCACTTTTGATTTGGGGGTTGAACTGTCCCTTTAAAATAAGGTTTTGTGGTTGTACAGTCTGTGTTTTTTGAATAAAGTTTTGTTGCAAAAATAAAAACAGGTGGGTGCACCTGTGGAGCTTGCAGGATTAAAATCAAAGCCTAAATTATGCTAGACATTCATTACATGAATATATACAAATAATTCCATCTTTAAATGACCTGTGAAATCTGAAACAGTATCTCTCATCTCTCAGTCACCTAAGCCTGTGTTATGATATCTGAGAGCCTCTTCTTACTCTCCACCTCCCCTGCCTGGTACAGTCCAAACAAACACACTCAATAGTCGCAGCCTCTGAATAAATAAAAACAGTCTGGATAAATAATTCAAACGGCAGCCTGTTGTTCCTCAATGTATGTCGTCATCCGGACGGTAGTTGCGGAAGTAGCCTGCACACGGTTTGCAGAGGATGAGACCTGCCCGGCGACCGCACAGGGAACAGAAGTGCCGTCTTCAGGTCTGTCATACATATACTCAGGTGGAGATGGATCAGTCTGAGACATGATCCTCTGACATAGCCTTATCTTTCATTTCCAACACTTCGGCTCATCTCTAACCTGTCTCCGGTCCCGGTAAGATCATCCATCCAAGAGGCATGGGTGCGCTGCAGTCCTTACCTGGTCAACAAGAATACGCTGATCTGGCGGAAAAGACCGGCTGTAAGTAGTCACCATTGGTGTTTGCGTTGGCGTTAAGCGCTTAGTTTTATTAAGACATCAGCCGGACATGTAGGATGTGTCAAAACATGAGCTCACTGCACCGGAAATGTGATTTTAATTCAGCCTAATTTTAACCTTAAAGGGGAAATCTGACCATTTTAACCTTAGCCTATGACACATGTTATGTAAACACATGATCATTATTTGCCTTTAGTCTATAAGTACATATGTAAAGCATGAGGAGAACCAGTCTGTGTGGTGCAGCAGTGATGAATAATTCACATTGTAAGTGAATGGAAGTGTAACTTTAGTCAGTTTACAGATGGAGGTGCTGTTAATAATAGATCAGACACTGCTCTGACAGCTTTGACAGAACAATTTAAGAGCGGACATGTCTATTTTGACTGTTTGCTACATGCAACAACAGCTGCTTTAATGCACCTGTAGCCTCGTCTGAAAGAGGTGGTATAGCTGCAGGTGACAGACAGCAGCCAAGTGTTTTACATAGCATATGAATATTCAAATCTGCTCTCCTGAAAGCCTCCAGTAAAACTTGTGGGTGATTAAAGAGCTATTACCATCAGACAGTCAACAAACATACTGTCAAAATGACTCTAATAGGTGTGCTTTGTGTCTCACTGTTGTTTTCAGTCTCATTGGAACAGATCAGAATCTTACACAAAAGATTCAAGCAGCTGAGCAATGAAGAAGAAACTCTGCAGTAAGCTTGTTTTAATAATTTTTCAAGCACTGAATTGAATTTCTCATTGTCACCTTCAGCTTTCCCTTCTGTTGTCATTGGATTTATTTCTTTAAGCAAACCATCCTGGTGTCTCATCAACTTTCCTTGGAAGTGGAAACCCGCCTAACAGGCTTTACGTCTGCACATACAGCTTGCAACTTGTGGCCATGATTATATATTAGAGTATCTTATGATAGCGTATGCCACTCCTTATTCCACCCTCAGGAGAGATCACTTCAATGGAATTCCAGATCTAGCTTGCAATCCCATCCGGGCGCAGATCGTAGAGGCCTTCTTTGACAGGAGGTACAGTGACAGATGGTTTGAAAGCTGCCTGAACTTGTAATACATATTAAGCTAATAGTCAAAAGTTTGCTTCAAGTGTATGAACTGCACGACCTGAAGGCTGATGTCTTTATTTCTGTAGAAACTTTCGGCAGAACGTCGAGGGCACGGTCGGGGAGATCGGCTTTGAGCAGTTCCTGGTGGTCATGTCCCATTTCAGGCCCCCGTCACTGCAAATGACAGAGGAACAGCGCGAGAGCGTCAGGAAGGAGAAACTGAGATGTGTGTACTCAGATCACATGATCACATGCTTGACATTATCTGTGGTTGACACACATCTGCTGAACTGATAGCTGCTTCTTTTCTCTGCAGTTTTATTCAACATGCACGACACAGACAACAATGGGACGATAACACTTGAGGAATACAGACACGTAAGCCTCCTCTCACTTCTGCTGACAAAAATACATCTGTTAATGACCTTTAGGCGGTGATGGTTACAACAGTCTGGACTCACAGTCTGAGGAAATCATCATGAGTTCATCATGTGGGTTTATCTTTTTCTGCTCTTATCAGCATCGTTCGATCATTTTCAGCTGAATTTTGAAGGTGATTGAAGATGCAGATTGTCTGTGGTAGGAGGAAGATATCTAACACACATTTGGTTAGCATCGCCTCTCCAACACTTGAGAGTCAAGTGCCTTTCTGCAACACAACTGCAAACTAATGAGGCAAGAGAGGAGGCATTTCCTGCCATCGTAGAAATATTATTTTACTTTAACTTATTCACTTCTGTCCAGGTGGTGGAGGAACTGTTATCTCTTAGCGAGACACTGGAGAAGGACACAGCCAAAAGCATTGCTGATGCAGCCATGTTGGAGGTGGCCAGTATTTCAATGGGTCACATGGTATGTAAGCAGCTGGAGGATAACTCAAGATAACATTACTTTTTACTCACTGTTTGTCTATAACTTGCCTTTTCCACATGCAGGAACCTGATGAATTCTATGAGGGAATCACATTTGAGCATTTCCTTAAGGTTGGTACACAGAACACATACTATTATATAAATGTCTGCTAAAACTACTTTCTTAGCTGGTTCACTCATTTTTAATGTTATCACTCTTAAATGGGTGTTAGTAGTGGTTGTCAGTGTTGTAGATGTAGGTTAGAAGGCTCCTACTACATCAACTACTATGTTTAGAGTGCCATTATCACCCTGTTAAATGGCCGCTGGCAAAACTTTATGTCTCAGCAAAGCTGTTGTTAATGTGTGGTTATGTTAAGGCACAAAAACACTTGGTTATGATTAAGAAAAGATCATGTTTTAGCATATAACGTTTGAGGGCAGAAATGCAGCTGTAAATGCAGTGATGACTTGCTATAAAAATTCGCCCACCTTTAGGGGCAGAAACTGCTGGAAATGTTGCAACGGCTTACTAAAAAAAAAACCTGTTTGGGGCAGAAACGCAGTGATGACTTGCTAAAAAAATGCTATCCTTTGGGGATGAAACCCTGCTCAAAATACAGCAACAATTCCTAAAAAACACCCATGTTAGGGGGCAGAAACTCCACTGGTAATACATCTACAGAAAGTTCTGGGGGCAGAATTGTGTCTGACGCAATGATGTGTTGCTAAAAACACCCATGTTGGGAGGCACAAATACCACTGGAAATGCAGCAATAATTTGCCTTAATAAGACCCACGTTAGGGGGCAGAAACACCACTGGTAATGCAGCGATGAGTCCCCAAAAAACACCCATGTTGGGGGGTAGAAACCCTGCTGGAAAAGCAACAACAATTTACTTTAAAAAAAAAAAAAAGACCTACACTGAAGGGCAGAAATGCCCCTGATGTCACCCCCGTTTGGAGCAGAAACACAGCTGTAAACGCAGCAATGACTTGCTAAAAATCTCCCACCTTTTGGGGCTAAAACTCCGCTGGAAATGCAGCGACACGTCCCTTAAAAATCACCCACATTTTGGGGCAGAAACACCAGCGATAGGTCCCTAAAAAACACCCATGTTTGGGGGCACAAATGAAACTGGAAACGCAACAATGTGTCGTTATAAAACGCCCACACTGAAGGCAGAAATCCTGCTGGAAAAGCAGGAACAATTTACTAATAAAAGGCCTATGTTTGGAGCAAAAACACAGCTGTAAATGCACCAACAACTTGCGAAAAAAAAAAAAAAACTCCCACCTTTTGGGGCTGAAACTCCACTGAAGATGTAGTGACAAATCCCTTAAAAATCACCGACATTTTGGGGCAGAAACACCACTGGTAACACAGCGATAGGTCCCTAAAATGTATCCATGTTTGGGGGCAGAAACGCCACTGAAAACACAGTGACAGGTTGTAAAAATAACACCAGTTTTGGGGGCAGAAATGCTGCAATGTGGGGCCACAAACACCTCTGAACACGTCTCGATGTCTTGCTAATGAACAATCGGTGTTGCAGTTTGACAGCCATCTTGCCTGTGTCACGCCATCCATCATCCCCTCTGCCTCCTGATGTCAAAGTCAGCTCATGTACATGTTGTCACATAATGAAAGTCACAGCCATTTAATAGCTGATGACAACATTTTGAACATGCTAGTTCTTGTAGCTTGAGGCTTCTAACATATATAGTATCTGCTACACTGATAACCACTACATACTCTTATTTAATGGTTAATTACCATACTTTGAAAGTGCATGTAAATAAATAAATATTTAGTTCCAACCCTAAGTAGAATCAGTCCTAACACATTCAATGTGACATTAATAGCAAAATACATTTTAAACAACATAAAAACCTTTTGTTTTGTTTGCTTTTTGTCTTTAGTTGCTGAAAGGCTTTGAGATTGAATCAAAAATGAACATTCGCTTTTTGAATATGGACACGACAACCTTGTGCAAGTGAGGCTGGTACACTAAACTATGCAGTGACTTTTGGGAAAACTCTGAAGACGCATATATATGGCTTCACCATCTTTTGTTTCCAGTTTGTCGCTTGCAGTGAATAATATTGCCTTACTAATGTTTGAATAACTATGCAAATGAAATGGAAACATGTATGCTGCAGGTGTAGAAGTAGTTCATTAAACTATAAGCAATAATATGAGAATATCAGTCAAATAGCAATCAGCCTGTTTGTAGCTGAACTAAGCAATAATCAGATATCTGAAGGAACAGACAGTATGACTATGCATGCAAACACTGATGCTCGAAGAACCTTTATAAATGTCAATGCCATAAATCAATAACTCTTAATATTCAGGGATATAAAGGTTTGTCTTTAAATATATATGGGTGTGTCTAATAATAGCAATACAATCATTTGAAATGCCTTTTATTCATGTAACAAAGGTGACACTTGGTGCATGCTCAGCACACGACATTTGCACAATAAAAACCCCACAAAACAGATCTGACTTCAGTTCATTATGTAGTTCTGATAAAAAGGAAACGGGAGTGCTGTCATGCAAGATTAAATGCTTGAAGGCAGTATCTGTTTCATCCTTGTTTAAGATGCTTGATGGTAAAAGGTGTGGCCTAATTGCCCGTAAAACAGCAGACCCTCTGTAATCCAACTTATAATGCAACATGTGAGCAAAAGCTTCGGCAGCCTCATCACGTCAGAGGTTTGAATAACTTTATAGCAGAGGCTAACATAAGCTTGTTTCAGGAGCTACTATCAGCAAACTATTACTCCAAAGTTTTGGTGTGAATTTTGTGGCAAATATACAGATTTATTAGCAACATCATAAAGAACAATAATCTAATTTAAGTCTTCATTAAGGTCCAAAATCATTAACAGGCAAGTAGGGGTGAAAAAGAAAAATCAGTATGAAAGGACTTTAAGAATTATTGCAGTTGGCAGGTCTCTCTCCTCATGTTTCTTGTCAATCTCTAGTGTCACTATCAATAATAAAGCTGTCATCAGTACCTGTTTATTTTGTCCGCAGCTCTTTGCATCACTGTATGAACAGGTACTGAGTCATTGGGTGGTGTGTTGGATGTAAACTTTCACTTCATGTTTTAATATTTCCTGTAAATGCCAAATGACAGACTGTCTAGAATGTCCAAAGATACCTATCAGCACTGTGGTGCAATGTGTTCAGTCATGGGTGTATACTGCCCTCCACAGGTCAAAACATGTAAAGCATGATGAATGATAAATAACCTGATGCATTAAATATACTCCTATGTCATTTCTTTAGTTGGTGTTTTTAAGTTAGGAAATGAATAATGCACGATGCAGTGCTTTTAAACATGGCAGATGTTGGGTCATTTAGTGCAGGTGCTCATAAGCTGAATTACAATTACATTTAAAGTTTTCATTGTATCATTTAGGCTTTTTCTTTGTAAAGCTGTCCACATTTTGCAATAAAATATGACCTATTTAACTGTGGTTCAGATTTTTAATTGCCTACGTGTCTTCTTTCATGGACAGTCACATTGTAAATAGATCTGTCTTTCAGTATGGTCATCTTTCTTTGGTTCTGTGGAGAAATGTCACTGTAAATGTGCAACAGGATCCACCTAAAACACTAAAACAGCAGGTTAAAAAGGCAGCGTGCAGTGTAGTGTACAGGAACATCTGTGTGGGCTGGAAGTCCCAAGGTCAGAATGGAAGATGCCTCCTAAGGTGGTTGTGAAAGGCCGAGCTAAGATCCTGTGGGACTTCCAGATCCAGATGGTCAAACAGATGATGGATGACCAACCGGACATTGTGTTGATCTACAAACAACAGAAGAAGGCAGTGGTGATAGATGTAGCAATCCCGAGCAAAAGCAACATCAGATAGAAGGGATACGAGAAGCTTGAAAAACACCAAGGGCTGAAAGAGGATCTTGAAAAGATGTGGGGAGTTAAGGCAACAGTGGTGCCAGTGGTAATTGCAGCACTCGGGGCTGTGACCCCCAGACTGGGAGAGTGGCTCCAGCAGAGTCCAGGTCCAACATCTGAGGTCTCTTTCCAGAAGAGTGCAGTCCTAGGAACAGCTAAGATACTGCACAGAACCCTCAAACTCCCAGGCCTCTGGTAGAGGACCCGAGCTTGAGGAAGACACAAAGCCACTGCCCATGGGGGATTTTTATGTGATGTGATAAATCATAAGTAATGCGGATATAATGACTAAGTGGGATATGTGAAATTGTAGAACTGTCTGGTAAGTTCCGAAAATGACATCACTTTACTGTGATGCAGCGTTTAAAACCAGAAAAAGACAACACTTAGTATATGAAGATATCAGAAATCTAAGAGAATGTCTAGTCTTATTTCACAATATTGATATAATATTGGTATATTGCCCACCCAGGAGGAATTAGAATGTAGGAGATTCAAGTGCACAGTTTTAATGACACATGAGATGCCAATATTTGTCTTTGGTTCAGACAGAAATATTTCAACAACTATTGGAGGGATTCCCATCAAATTTGCAATGAAAAGTCAAGGTCCTCAGAGGATAAATTCTACCCACTTTCATGATTATCTGATTGTCCTCTAATGCCACAAGCAGGTCAAAGTTTCCCCTTACTCAGTGAAATATTTTCAGGTATATACCAGAGGGAGTGGCACAAAAAACAGTTAAGATTCATGGTTTCCAGATGATGCATCCTCATGATATTGGTAATCCCCTGACTTTTTTTTGTAGTGCCATCATGAGATTGAAATCTTAAAGTATGAGATAAACTGCCATAAAATTAGATCTAAACATTGTGTCCCCTTAGGATAAATTGCAATAACCTTGGTGATCCCCTAACATCTAGCGCCACCATCAGGTCACAAGTTTAATTTGTTTCAATACTCTGGTTTATGGCCAAACACCTGTAAAACCAAAGACATTCCCACCAGCCTCAGCTGTACTTTGTGTTAAGTGCTAATTAGCACGTTAGCATGCAAACACATTAAACTAAGATGGTGAACATAGCATGGCTGTAGTCTCATTGTCTTGTTTTTAATTGCGTTCATTGCGGGGAATACCTGATGGAAAACAATGCAAGTTAGAGTGAGTTTTTTCTTGACTTTGTTTCCAAGGTCAGGAAAAGTTTGACAAACTGTGCAGAAGTCGACACATGTTCACCGTGATGTGTTGATAACAGGTGGATCTGTGGTCCTGGGTTCAGTCTCCAGACCAGTCCACTTCTGTTGGGGTTTGCATGTTCTCCCCTGCTGGTGTTAAAACTATGCAGGTTAGCTGGAGTTTCTCCAAGTCAGGTGGATTAGAGTGTTTTACAGGGTCGTCTTGTTACAAGTCCAAGGTGTCTGCATTTTCACAAGCGCTGTATCTGCTGGGGTAGACATCACAGCTCTCTGTGGTCTTGTTAAGCACTAAGTGGGCAGTGAAAATGGATGAATAATGTAGACTGAAGAATGACTGTTGCCCTGAGGTACCCTCTGTGTTTGCGCTTTAAATAACGCCGAGTTATAACAGGGAACTTGATTCATGACCCAGAGTGAATCCCCCATCTACTTCCAGTTTCCTGCGAGCTTGTGATCTGAGGAAAGTTTAGTTAAGCATTACTTAATTACAGCCAAAATATTTGGTGTCTATGTTACATATATATATAAATGCGTATTGAGATGACAGGTTGGCATGCAGTGTCTGTCATACATCTATTTAAAAAAAGGTGTTTTCTGCAAAATGTCAACTTCTCTTCTGTTTTCCCCATCCCACCTTTCACACACTTGCATCTCCAGCTATATGAGGATGCAAGTGCACAAACAACACATACAGTTATCTGACCCACACACACCCACACCTTGTGACTGGCCAGACAGCCCGCCAGTTTCATGAAATCTTTCCTATCCGATACTGCCTTGTGTTGAACACATGCGTCATTCTGAGCTGATATCACACAGTCAGCGTCTCAGCAGCTTCCTGATTTTCTTTTAACCCCTCTTGATGGACTTATTCTTTGCAGAACAAGGCACATGATGCTTCCAGCACAAATGTGACTATTTTTGTATATATTTTTTACACGTTTTGCACGGAAAATCTTTGTTAAAAGTGTGGAAATGGGTATTTTGTTACTCCAACCGAGTCTGGCAAATAAGAAGACACATGCAGTGCTTAAAAATCTGTTGTGGAGATGGTCTTTTTTTCCAGACACTACCATGTTGCTGACACTGTACATTATTGATGCAACCACATTAAGAAATGAAGATCATAAAGAAGTACAGCTGCAAAGTATCTTTTAATAATTCTGCATACAGCAAATAAGTTTACATCAGCAAAGTAGAACCTTACATAACATATTAGACAAATTAAATATACATAACTCGCATGGAGACACCTTCACACTCTTTCAACAGCATTCCTCTTTTCAGAAACAACAAAATAAATATTAAATACCATAAATAGGCTTTTTTACACCGATGTACCCGCCACCTTCATACTCACACATCTTGAAAAGTCTTTATCAACCCAGTGAGTACAAGTGTTGTTGAACACTAACTGTCTAAGGCCAGCCTTAGGTCATCCTCAGAAGAGTGTGTTGATCTGTATCCGTCTGCACACTTTGCTTTTCAGAGTCCTCAGTTCCCGAGAAACATTCGACACCAGCTCCTTGTAGGTCTTCAGGACCACGCAGCCATAGACCTTCTGCTGGAAGACGTTCTGAGGTGGAGGTAGCGTCGTCGGCCGTCCAACTGGCTCTGGTAAAGGCAGGTTTGGGAAGAGGCTCTGATAGAAGCTGTTTATGAGGGCAGCCAGGTTCCTGCTGCGAGCTGTCACACGGCTAAGCTGGGTCAGCAGTGGGCTGGTGGGTGACTGTAAGTCCGTCTGCTGCTCGTACACCCGTTTGAAATGTGGGAAGAAGTCTTGCAGATGTGTGTAGATGCTCACTATCCTCTCCGAGGGCTCCATGCCGGAGATGTTGGGATCAGGGACGTCGGGGACTGACACCTTGCAGAAGAGCTCTGACATTTCTCCCTGAGAGGCTTTCTGCAAAAACAGAAATCAAACACTAATTAAGCTACACATCTTAAAAAGAGGAGCATGAATAGCTGGGAAATTTTCAAAGCAGGGTGGAGTACTGAACAAGCAGATGAGGATTTAACAAAGCAAAATAAGATACAGCACTTTTATGCCTGTACTCACATATGTTTTGATTAGGTCAACGGATTCCTTCTGTATGAGTCTGGTGAGCTTCAAAGTCTGCTGCAGAGAATTCCCACACTGCTGGTTTCTGCTCGCTGCCACAGTTCTTGTTGAATCAACAGCCATAACCAGCAGGAGAGAGAGTAATGCTGCGGAGAAAGGAACTGGTCAGTTAAGGTTAACCTACATCCCAGCGGTGAGGGGAACTTCATTGTAACAAAGCCACAAGTGGAAGGCAGGGGTGACAAAAATAGACTTCTCAAATACTCAGCAAAGTCAAAAGAGAACAACAGAAGTCTGCTTTAATATCAGCTCAGACATTATATAGAAACAATCTGTAATTATGTTTAGATGCAACAAACTTTGTCAGATTCTTTAAATACTGGCCAGATTCTCCAAACAGTTTAAAATCTAATTACTTCATGAAAATAACTAGGCTGTGCTCAGAAACTGTGAGACAGTTGAATATGAAACTTGAGTCAGTTTCACAACTGGTGCAAGGCAGTGAAAAATAACCACAAAAACATGCACATTTACAAGAAAAGATGCACCTTTATAAAAAAAAAATTTAATAGAAAAGTAGGTGTAAATAAACTTACTTGTTGCTGGTTCCATAAACTGTTGAAAATGCATGCTCTTTACATGACCATTCATTCTCCACTCAGTATCACAGGCAAATTGCACGGACTCGTCATAATCACACTCCTTTAAAACTTTTTTAAAAGACAGAAACCACACATTTGTCATAGGAGGAAATGACGTGCACTTTGTGAGGCAACCAAATTTCCCAGAATTTCCTCCTTTTTTTTTTCAGATGTGCATTTTTTTTTTTTTTGTCTTCTCTTTCCTCTGTATCAAAGAAGTGGGCAATGTCCCAACATGCCTGGTCGCACACCAGGCATGAAGGGACGTTGTCTAATTATTATGACTTGTGTGACCACACAGTGTAGCTTTTTTAATAGCACTTCCTTTTTTTATTTGGGCACGGAAAAATATACTAGAAACGTGATATATTTAAGTCGCTTGAGAAACGTGAATCTTAGAAAGCCATGTCAGGCATGCATAAACATAATTTAAAGGACTGAGGTCAGCACTTTGACACAGTTCCCTGTGGTGCTTTTTTACCGCCATCTAGAGAGTGTGGGTGTGAGGGTGAGAACTTTGGGCGCTGAGGGGAGCTCACTTTTACTTTTTCACACCCACTGATTTGTACAGTTATGATGTTTCTCATGCAGTGGCTTATATTCAGGTGAAACATGCAGGTGTTCTTTTAGAAAACACACTTTAACAGTCTAATATCAAAAAGAGATTGTGTGGTTCTTCCCATGTCTTCGCCAACTTTCATAATGCAACAACAAAACCACACTCATGCAGTTTTTGGTGCTTAGATGCTACAAAAAGTGGTGTTTTAAAGCAGAATTGGGTCTGAAACAAATGAGATGTGTCATGAAAACACTCCCTGAGAAGCAGTCTGAGATCATAATGACAGTTTTAGCTGCCTTCTCTTGATTTTTATGCAGATGTTTCTGTCATTATAACCGTTAACAACTGTTTCTCACACCACGTATGCCTCTATGCAGCAATATTTTCATGTGGGCATTTGTGCAGGAAGCTGGCAGTAACAGGAAATGCATTTCTCAATCAGAAACTTTTACAAGTGCGTAAAGGGGAGGGTCTGTTGAGCCAAAGTAGGCAATATGTCAGTGTCATCACACCACAAGTTCAAGCTTCTGATGGGCCGTGCTCGCCCTTAACAGAGGATGATTTCATCGTGACATATGGTGGTGTCGCATCCCCCAGTGACTTGTTTAAGCAAGTGTGTGAGGAGGGAGGAATTCCAGGAGGAATATGTAAACTTTGAAAATAACACAAACAGGGTTTTTCACGTGTTGTCTAATCTCATCTTCGTCACCACCACCACAAACTTCTAGAAATGAGGGCCACTTCTGCTTCGAGTCACCCTATGATGTGTTTAGCTAGCCCTCTGCAACACAGGGTTAATGAGAGGTCACGCTACAAGACAGGAACACGCTGAGAGCTGACCTGATGTCAGTGTTTTTAACCATGTTTGTTTCAAGCATCCACACTAGATGCCGCATTGCTGTCAAACCACTGACTGCTCGAGAAAAGACAGGGGGAACTCGACACACCACAACACTGTCAGCACTACTTCAGGTAAAGGCTAACCACTCTGCTGCCACCCTCGGGGCTTTCCAGTTGCCCCAGGGGATAATAGAGGGGTTGTGGTGAGGCAGGCAACGGTTGCAGATGGTGCCGCAGACGTCGACAATTCAAGGAAACTTCAGTGGTATTCTTGCCAATATATACAGTGCAGGCATGCCAAGAAAAGCCCCCAATCAACACCCTAAATCAAGCCTGTTGACCCTGATATGTGAGGAAGCCTTGAAAACACTGGAGGCTTTGCAGTGTAACTTCCCTCTCACCTCCCGCTATTATTTAAAGGCTCTGGTTTTCACAAGTTCTCTTTGACCTGCACGTGTGGATTTACAATAAATTACAGTAAACAGCATTTAAAATAATGTAGGTCACACATCAGACCGAAAAAAAGCGAAAGTGAGAAGCCCCAGTCCACATAAGTGAGAATTACAGGGAAATTCAACCACAAACAGTAAGAAATGCACTGTCATAAGATGCAGGATGTCGATTGAGACTCCCTTTTGTTTTCAACAGAATCTCTTTTATTTCGTCTTTGAACTGCACAGGAAATGGTGAATAAGGTTGTTTAGGAAAGTCCCCTTTTATTCTAACTAAATACATCTTTCTAGTAAACTTAAAATTCACACAAATTGTAAGGTTCATAACCGTTCTGAAGCTCTCAGGCAAACCTTATTCAAGCACCCCAGTAGCACTTTTATTTATGGAACCATTTGTTCGCAAGGCTTCAGTTATATGCGACCAGACAAAAAGGCCTTACTGCATATGAGAAACTTTTTTTTTTTTCATCAAATTTCAGAAAGTTTGTGAAAATGTAAAAGGCTGAAAAATCTAGAGGAGCCATTCAACGTCAGAACACACTCTGGTCAAACAGAACAAATTCAGAATTTTTTAGGTTTTCTACGTGTAAAACAAGAGCATTTATATATTGCCATCAGAAATAGAATGTCATTATATTCCTCTATTTAAAATACTTTGTTAAATTCAGGGGGACGTCTTCCACCTTTCAGCCCTGTGAGGAACATGACTGAACATTAATACAAGTCGTGGCTCTCAAATGAAAAGAGGAAACAGGTGAAGTAATACCTGCCGAACGTAACAGGGTTGCATTCAAGACCACCACATTAAACAATGTTTCAAAAACTGACCCGTGATAAAATAGTATTTATTTTTTCCATACATATACTTCATTTTTAGAGGGTTTCACTGCATGGGGTACTCTAAATATGTCATGAGCGTTTGAAAAACTTAGTAGTGTTTTGACTCAGAGGGGGTTTCAAAATGCTTCATGTTTACATTTTGTAAAAATCAATCGTCTCTCCAAGACAAAAAACTACAAGGCTAAAGGTGGTATTAGAAATTAAGCACCAAACAATTACCTTTCCATTCGATATAAATGGAAACATTGTGCAACCTGTTCAATGACCATAATGAACATGGCAAAAAATATGTAAATCTGATCATTAGACACTAATTACTCAAATGCAATCTGGACCCACACGTTGTGTTTGCTTTTGTGGAGCCGTCGATCAGTAAACGATCACCGTGCTGATATTATAAGAAGTCTGTGGTTCCATCCACCAGCATTTATACAATCTGAGAGTCTAGTGATTTGACTTAGCAATATATTGAGCTATCGTATGACCATATCTCTATATTATAAAACAAAAACGAAGCAAAATCTTTATCGTTAAGCTCTGTTATCAGTAATAGACCAGTGTCTCTGCATGTTCTAGCTATATTCTCATGTACAAATATTCATATCAAAAGTTATACAGCACAATTCTCACCATTTTCCTTTACAAGAACTTTGATTAGTGAACATTAAATGATTCACAAGTTTTAGATGAAACCAAAACAATATGGTGCCGGCCTCAGTAAATAAAATATAGAATATAACAAACACGGAACTAAAATCTGCTTCAGGCACAACTTAAATAAAGGCATTTGTGAAAATTATCATATCAAATATGGCGCCGCTTATGTCCAGTATCCATAGGCTTAAAATGAAAAAGAAAAAAAAAAAGAAATGCTTTTATTTACAAACAGCTAAAATCTCTGACAGATTCATGCTTCACTTCACAACCTGAATTTGTCCTTAAAGTGCATGCAATAATAAGCAGTTTTACCAAGTGGGATCTTGAGTTGTGATAAGATAAACGGATTGATCAAGCTAACGCCAAATTGATCCTACATATCAAATAAAAAAAGAAAAGGTAAGAACTGTTGCCTAGAAAAGTGAGGGACCACAGTATACTGTATGCATAAGCACAATATGGAAGTATGACCAAAAGTTTTTTAACATTTTAAATGAATAAACTCTGACTTTATCCAGTGACCCCATACAGTAATATTCACATTCAGAGCATAAAATAAAAAAAAGAACATAATAAAATAAAAGTAATAAAAAAAGACAAAGCAGCTTAACACCACGGGGGAGTCCGCAGCTCACATTCCACAATGTCCCTCCATGTAACACACACATTAAGCATCATACGAACATGATGGGATTCTACTTAAACATATCAAAGTGCCAATTTTACTAAAATTTCCTGATTTATTCAATTCATACCAAAAGGAGGAAATGGCATGGAGGAAAGAGTCTGTTATTTTTAACACATAAGTTTTGAGTTACACTGACTAGGTTTTTATTGACATGTTGTTGTAGATTCTTTTGTTTTACTTTCCCCCTTCAAGTTTCACAAAAGAAGTTCTCATTGCACGTGACACCTCGATTCGAAGATGCAATATCTAAGAGAGAAGAAAAGCAATAGAGAAAGTTATCCAGCTTTGCCACCGTGGTGCGTGACAAACGGGTCAAGTGGACGCGAAAAGGGCACGGATATGTTGTCCTCTAGAGATAAATCCACTTTCATCTGTTGTCTTCTTTGGGGAAGTCCAGAGATCCCAGGCTTCCAAAGCCGAGGCTTCTACTTTCTGTGTCAAAAGCGTTAATTTCTCTGTCCTGACGTTCCAGCAAGTGCTTGATCTTTTCAGTGCGCTCCTTCTGAAGTGCGGCCAGTTCCTCTTCAATCTGTAATCGAAGGACATGCTGGGAGTTATTTTGTTACGTGAACTCTTAACTTTGAGCTTTGTTTTGCCCTGCCAGAGAGGGGGCTTTGGTGTCAGTAACTTCAATGCTTTTGCAGTAAGGTGTCACAAAAGCTCCAGATTAGTTTCCATTGGCTGTAGGTGATAGTTGTTTTTTTTTGTTTGTTGTTTTTTACCATTTTCAGACATTTTATAAACAATTAATCAATAAAAAATGAATTGTGAGTTGCAATCACCTCATAATGAACTTCCTTATTTAACTAAAAGCATATTCTTTGAAAGCCCAATCAGCAGATGCAATGGTATTTACTGAGCACTGTACTGAGCACTCTACTGATAGTCCCGGGTGTATGAGCCCTGTCCATTTTGTACATTATAGTGGCTCTTCTCTCAGATCATTCTTGGAGTGTTGGATGATAAATATATTAAAATAAAATGAAAATGATAATAAT